AACATAATGGATGGTATAAATCATTGCAACTAAGTTAATCCCGGTATAGCCACTATATACTGAGTATAGAATGGTTAGATTTTACCTATAAACGATGCAACGATGACTTCCATTGATGCACTATTTGCACTTAAATACGATGTATGAAAATCGAAACACGCATCGTTACTAATGTGCTACTTAACTTATCCAATTGTTCTTTTATTGTTTATGAAACTATCTACCTACTAATCAGTGCCGTTTGCACCAGGGGACTGTTGTTGTCACACGTTGCTTTTTCATGTGTTGCTGAAGCGAATGTTCGAGATTTGTCCATTTTCAGTAGATGGCAGTGCGAGGTGGCAAATCAACTTTGCACATCTCAGGCATGCTTGCTGTTAGTTTCGATTAAATCCTTTCTGCAATCTCAAAAGTTACTCTTAAAATAATAGCACATGGGTTATCTAGTTAACCACCAGATAACATTTTCGGTGTATTTTTTACGTGATTTCTCCTTGCGCGACTTTGTCAAATTCTCGTGTCTTCAAATATCGTAAATAATTGAAAAACGCCTTTAATCTCTTTTAGCATATCCAGCCGCTTAAAGATCGACTGCTTGGATGCGAGTAAATGTCTGCAGAAGCAGTCACAATTTCTGATGTTAATAAAGTGCCGCAACGCATCTTTTTAACCTACACACACCCAATTCATGAAGAATAACAAAATGTTGCAGTTCAAGTAAAGCCACATTGCGTGAGACATGGAATAATAACATTCACTCATAATTGCAGTACCTGTGATTCGCATTAATGCACATCAGTAGCAGTAGTAGCAGCCCTAAGTTAGGTAATTTTACTCAATCAGAATCGTTGACGTATTTGCTAAGAGAACAGCGGATGGAAGTAAACTGAAGCAGCAGCTGCTACTACAGCTGCAGCAACGCGGTTGTTCTTTGTGCAGGTCTTTATGCAATCGCCACTCACCAAGAACTTGAGTTTGTTGTCGCAAGCAGAATGCCAAGCAAGTTGAAGGACATCACAAGTAGGAGTGGCAGCCCTATATAGAAGCGTTGTCGCGTTCTCCAACACACCAACTTGGACGCTTCACTCGCGTTTACCCACAGGAAGGCTACCATTGCCCTGTGCTTCTTTGCCTTCATAATCATGGATTGTTTGACATTTGTGACTGCCTTCTACACAGTCTCAGCCTTCGTGTCATTGGATTTCATGACCGCCATCTAAGAAATCGCCACCTGCGTCGGCTTGGCGACCTTCGAGCGCTTTGCCTTCGCTTCTTTTGGCTTTCGAGCGACCGCGGATGCTCATGGTTTTGTGCTGTTCGCAGCCTTTGGCATCTTCTCGGCCACCTTCCTGTCAGCGATCTTGTAACTCTGGATGTTCCTCGACCCTTGTCACAGCCAACGATCGCTTGGCAGATGTAAGGCGTGATGGGGTCAACATCCATCTCGAAATTGGCGCCAATGCGGTTCTTGATGACTGCCAGGGAAATCGCCTTGCAGTCATTGTTAGCAACAACAATCGCAAACTTTGATCCTATCAGCAATTGGCAGGTAGCTGCACGCAAATTCGTCCCCTTTTCCTTTGTTGCGGTTGCGAACATCGCGTAAACAGGATGCGCGTATCACGTCATTGATGCATATTCACTCGTTTGCTGACTACTTAGTCCTGGTGATTCCAATGTCACTGTCACCCAAATATTTACCAAGATCGTTGCCAGACCAGTTGATATGCTTGATAATTGAAGGTCCCGAGTTGTCCTTAAACAATATTTATGTACTATATGTTCTATCTGAACATCCTGGTCGACTCGTCGTTAGAAAACAATGTGAACAGAACCAATTAACAGAAATCCAATTCGTAGCTGCACAAATCACACACTTGTGGATTGATCTGCTTCGATTTGCTTACTTTCTACAAATCTATCTGCCAAAATAATACTGTATCGACTTCACGCTTTGTTAAGCAAAGGTTTCAACAGGGTTGTATTTATTACCATTACGGAGCATGTGATTCCATGTGGAAAATAAAAATGGCCATCGACGAATTTCGCCAACGAACAGAAACTAGCAAAATGAAAAACGCACTTAGGTTTATCTAAGCTAACAAAGTAGGATAGCTTGTTTTGATAAAGTGGGAGAGAAAGGTGAAGTGCCTTGCTCTTACCTTAGATAATTGTTCTCAATCGAAGTTAATTGCGCAGCTGCCAGGATTGAAGTGATGTTAAGCGATCGAAAACACCAGCTACATCAATCGCATTGGTTTTCCAGCACATGCTCTTAAAGGCCACTCGCCAAGGACATGCTGCACACGCCGCTCTGTAAAATCACATGGAACCTCGTGCAAGACATTGTCGATCATGAACTCGCTCGTTATCCTATGCCATCAGTTAAGATTTTTCTAATGTTTACGATTCACTTTGACTACCAGCGGAGGCTTGCATTTGAAATAATTCCACATGAACAACGAAAATACCTTACATAATGTTCGAGTCAAATTTCATTGCAATTAACTTGCTCTGCTCCTTTCCTATATATGACCTCTGTCCGAATTTGTTTGGTGAAGTTAAAACTACGGAATGTCAGGTGATAACCTCTGATGAGGACCTGAGGTTAACACACTTCATGCATTTTAGGAACAACATAAAAATTGGCTTAAAAGAAGAGTAGCTTGTGAATCAAGTTAATTTTTTCTCGTTAATCTAATAACGTTAACCTCCGACATCTCGCTAGCTGCACGGAGCCCCAACTCCTCCCTCAATAGCACGAATATTTATCATGGATTATTCTTACCCCTAGGTCTCGATCTTAGCTCATCCATGACTCACACATCCTAGGTGGAAATACACACATGCAAACGCCACACAGGACACAGCGACACCACCTCAACTTAGCTCAGAAGTAAACGCCTGTGTTCATATCGTCTTCGGCTGAAGCCCACAAAACTTATGTCACGTAGGATTGAATTATGTAGATAAGTCGTTACAAAGTAATCACTACAACATGAATTTATGCAGAAGTGTGTTCTTGTTACCGTTACCATCTTCTAGATAGTATCTAAGGAACGGACAATCGACAATAAATCACTCATATCCCTCAATTACATTAAACTATAACCTTAACATATATGTCCACGAGATACATTTTTGCGTATTTAATTAACTGCATTCACTATTCCGCATACCGATACAACGGCGTTACTAACTGTTAGTTAGCAGCCAAGAAACAGACAATCGACATGAAATCACATATGTCACTTAATTACTTCAACCTATTCACAAACTCGCTGATGGGCTCGACGAATGATTTCATTTTCCAACGAGATACATTTTGGCATATTTTAACATTTGTATCACTATTCCGTATACAGATATAACCGCGTTCACCTTCCTCACAAATTATGAATGAGGTGCCCGTTGTTCATTGTTTAGAGAGTATCCGATCAAAGAATGCAATAGGGGATTGGCTATCATGGCCTGCAAACAGACAGGTTGTGGTTAGCACAGTGTCTAGCATCGTCAATGTCCCTCTGCACTGAATACTGACTTCTATGAACTAGGAATTTGTAATTAGGCAAGGACAGTTATTTCCTTTTCGAAGAAAACAGCTACAAGTGCATGTGGGATTTCAAACACTGCTTGATTCTTTTCAATTAGATGCAACTCCTTATTGTTTACTCGAATAATCTTTACACGATTGCATACAATGTCCAAAGTAAGGTTACAATCGCATTCGACTGCTTCAACAGTGGACAGGCCATGTCACACGTACGCAGCCAAATAAATTGCAAGAAACGGAGGCAAGTGGCATCTGCACAATACCTAGTACCAGTTTAATCCTGACAAAAATAAAAATTAAGCAACATATGTGTCAACAATCAGACAGAGCTTCGAAGTATTAGCATAAGAGCAGGCAGAATTTGAAGTGGCGAAGTAATTGTCACAGAAGACGTCGTAGTAACTGCGGTTGACGTACTCTTGCATTGATTCCGGTAACAGGCAAATCCGTTAGAGCATTTGGTGCAGCTTAGGCCCTCCTCATATGGCCTGTCTTGTGGATCGATTTCACTGTAAAAATTTGATTTTAAGGCAACATTAAGGCTATATTCATGTAATGATGATAAATCAATTTGGAAAATGCAAATTATAAAACAACATAATGAGGAATGCCTGGCATTGAATGCCTTAAAACACTCTACTTATCACAAATCGTAAAGATACTGCTTTACCCTGGTTTGTATATGCAGACAGTGAGTAAGAGTCCGCCGCCTTGACATGCTATAAGGGTACATCCCACCTCAGTCGTTTGCGACCACACAATCTAGAAAGGAATGCACAGGACATCAAATAACTTGCAGAATGCGGAATGCACTATTTGTTGCTGGAAGCATTTTCTCTAACCTTGATGTTACTTGAGGTTTGCCATGTCAATTGATCACAACTCCACAAACAACACCCAAGTTGGATGAATTTAGTTGATTGTCTATGAAGTCGTCTAAAGTGCAACATTGTCCCGTTAGTTTCTCAATACTGTTACAAATGAATGCTTTCAACACCATCTGCTTAATGTACTTTATGCAAAACAAGCACCTCTGAAGGCGTCAATATCCGACAATTTATGAAAAAACACGAATTTAATAGATCACCTACCGTTTTAAAATAGGAACAGGACCCGGTACATGTGTTTGTGTCATAGCTGTACGCATGTTTATCCCTCTGGTAATTTTCATTGAGGTTGCTAATAATAGTTTGGTTTTCCTTATTGTCAGAATTTGTAAGAATTCCGCATCCTTGAAATTGGGTATGAGTGTTTGGGTCTGGATATGGACCAGTACAGCCCAATTGTGCGTACTAATTGGCCAAAGTCTCCAGTTCGGGTGAATAATTCTGCAACAGAATGATAATAATTATGTGGTGGCACAAATATTAGCTCTTTTCTTTTGTTAGCATTTTCGGATCTTGCAGAGTTCCATGTCTGCTTTCACTGTGGTTTGTACTAATGCTTCTGATGCTTGTGGCCTATCACTGGGGATTCTCAAAAACAGAGTTTCCATGAAAGATCTCCTGGCATGGCATGACTGAATCGGCATGAAATGCATTCACCAGTGCACAGTCCCAGTTCTACCAACTAGTACATTTCGATTTCATACGCTTACCATCAGCTGCATGTTGCTGGCAGGAGGGTTGACGTTTTCGCGGATGCGAGTGTGAAATTCCAGGATTTCCTCACGCTCCTTATCCGTCGGTGGTTCAGCCACCACCAACCAAATAAAAGCCGATATAGCAATAAGTAGCTGCATGTCGACTCAATTCGTTGTTGTCTCCAAGTCGCAATGTCGGTGCATTGGCGATTTCTTAAACGCAATTTATATGCATTCACTCCAACGCGGAATCACGTGCGATCCGTGCAGCACCATGCCTCACCAATGACATTGTTGCTGGCGCTTTAGGATGGAATTTTGATAATAAACAACTTGTGCTTCCTTCTAAGCGAGTCACCGACTCTCCCGAATCTGTGTTCACGGATTATGTCCCTGGGTGCGTCCTGTGTGGTTTCCTGTACGAAATCGCGA